TTCCAGAGTGCCTTCGCGTACACCCCCGTCCAACCGGGGACAAGTTTATTCGATGGATGTCCACCCGCAACGCGTTTCGGTATGTGCTAGATGCTGGAAGGATTTCGCACGTTTAATACACCAAATTTCAGGATTCCCGCGAATTATTCGCGGAATCTAATCGGTACGGAAGAGCATACCGTTTTACGTGACACACGTTATAGGTACGTGACTCTAACTCATCGTCTGATGAATTAGGCACTAATGACCTCGATTGGATTGATGTGACGTTTCAGCGCTCGATAAATTTGTCAAAAGTTGTTAAAGCATAGAGTAGTTTTAAAAAAGAGAATTTGTATGAATATTTCTGTATGTAAAGCGTGTAACTGTTCCTATTTTTTTCAGATTTGTAATCAATATATTGAGACGCACGAAATGTTTTTTTTTTACACATATTGAAGAAAGATGATCTTTTTTTGAATGTCTCTACCCGCAATTAGACGCTTTCGAAGATTACACATGCTCTGTCCGTATCACAAAGCTACCGTCGTTTCCTTCGTAATTCATGCGCTATCGTTTCCCATAATCAAAACTAGCGAGGTCGTTTCTCCAAATTATATTAATTCAACGAGAACGAATTGCTGACACAAGTGAATAAATTTCATGCACAATTATTGCCCTTACTGTGAATCTCGTTGAATTTTACCGCGAAATTATTCACCGTATTCCATTGCCAGTCATCGCCGCCGCGATCAGCACCGAATCAGAAACGATTCAGTTCGACGGAAGATTTAGGATAGCTCGACTGACGGTAATTACACACCGAAATCGAATGGTGTGTTTCATACAGTAACGAGGGCTATTTTCGATGTGTGGCACGCTAGAAAATGATCGTCCAAATGGCGCCGCGGTACCGGCGGTGTCGGTCATCTGACATGGTATATCGAAGTAATCGATAACGAATATGCGTGCCACCTAATATTCGCGTTCCAAATTTGAACACGCAATTTGCCTTGTCCACCTGAGTCAGCTAATTACGCGCTCGCTGAGCTCGTAACGTTTCAGAATCGTCGACGGTATTCTCGGGTATATGCAAAGTGGCCGGTACATCAAAAAGGTATTTTCAAAAGTGGTATATGCGAACAAAGCAAATTGCGATATAATATGTCAAATTCCTTTTACATATCTTACATATATTAAAAACAGATTAAATTGTATTTCTGCTAAATTATTTTCCGTTAAAAAAGAAAGAAACTTTCCTTTTCTTTTCAATATTATTTTATGATCAATACAAAAACACAAAAGAAATTGTTATATATATCTTTCATAAAATGTCTCCGTGAAGCATACAAATTGTTTTCGTAATTTTAATTACAAGTATCGCGCGTAACTTAATTATAGTTATTAAAATAGATTTATTATATAGTTCAAGCTTCGTTTCGAGGCTGACCCGATGAGAGGCCATCGCCTTTAAAATCCATGCCTGAAATTGGATCCGACGTTTCTCCGAGTTCCATCGTGCAATTTCTACGAATAGTGATCTTCGCGCGTTCCTCGACATATTTCCGGATCGTCGCTTCCGTTCTCCTTGGCAAAGTTCCGCTCGAGAAATCGTAATCGAGAAATTTAGAGGTCAGATGAAACCGACCTGAATGTGAAAATCATGCGCGATTCTTTGTGAAATGGTTTTCTCATTAACACGAAGCGCGTTAGAATCTCTTAATTGTGGGAGTTATTTTGTTTTTCTGGCTATATTAAACACGTTTCTGCTAGGCTAAGCTGATTTAATATGCTGTAAAGCGAATTTCTCAAATATATTTATTGCATCTCAATAGATATTTTACAATCGTACGATGTATTGCATTACCACATAACATATTGCCACATATAGTCGCCGCATATAGCCGTTTCCATTTGTCTCATTGGTTCTGCGTGAAGAAAGATAAGAACTAAGATTACAAATTCCAATTTGTTCGAGTATACGAAAATATACGTTAAACCCCTATGCGCGAATGCGAGGCTTTCATAAAATAAGCCGAGACCTCTCCTCGTCCACGCTCCCTCATGCTCGCATATCTCTTTGTGTCCTCGGGCGAGCAAGAAACTCTCACCGTTCTTCACCCCTCACGCTGGCGTTGATTCGTTTGAAGGAAGATGTGTTATTCAAATGAAATATGTCTCTCCTTTGCCGGGCGTAGCATAAACTTTCTTCGGTGTGAATTATTGGAAAAATTTTCAAAAAGTCGCGTTTTTTCTCAAAAAGACAGGACGCGGACGCGCAAATGTGAAACCAACGTTATTCCCTTCGCCTCTAAATATTAAAATCACGAGGTGCTTTTTTTAAACACATATAAATGATAAAGAAATTATTATTCTATCTTTATGCCAATTGTTTATTTGAAAAGCTTACAATTAGATATAAGTATATATTTAAAAATTCTATTAAAATTATTATTCAATTTATTTAAAATTTGATCTAGAAATTAAACAATTTTTAAAAGATTGTTTTCAATTGTTTAGATGTTTTTTATTAATATATATATATTTTTATGAAAAACTATATACCTAACAAATAAAAAATTCATTGCATTACGATTAAAAATAATGAAATAATAGTTTATTCCACATAGTTCCGTGACATTTTCGTAGAATTAATTTGAATTGTCAACGATTTAGTAATTAATGTCCTTCTCCGAAGCATGTCAATTGTCGTAATTAATTCTCAAGTTCGGTATTTCATTTACTACGAGTAACATCTATGCTGTTATTCGAAAGCTCGTAATATGCGTTGCTCGAAATACAAATAACTTCACTTCGCTCAACTTTAAAAGATATGTGTGTCTAACATGAGTACACGAACGCATTTGTACACTTATCATTTAGATGAGATTTATCCACAATACATTCCAACGCTGACAAGACATTCTAACGTTGTAGATTTCATCGTACATTCCGGAACGTATGGTAGAAACTCCGAATTGAAAATAAAGTCAGCATGTACGTGTTATATAAGTTATTTTATTCGGATAAAATAAAATCGGAAGATTGAACGGTGGTTTGTATTACGATTCTTCTAGAAAAATACTTATAAAATAAAGTTCTTCAACTTGAGAAACACTTATTTTTAGAAAAGAGAGAAATGTATATATATATTTTTTGAACGTTGAACAATCGCGAAGTAAAGTTTATAGAAAGGAGTGCCAACGGAATCAATAAAATTACAAAGATAAAAAAACAATATATAACCCTTTTAAACTCCGGGATATTTACGCTGAATTCCTAAACTGAAATTAATTCCATTGGCACTAGCAGTTGCAAAAAGTTTATTTTCGCGGATCGTTATCTATTGTTGTAATATCTTCCCCTCCCATCTTCTTCACGTATCCTCAAAAGCATTTGGCAGAAATTTCGGCGAAATCCATTCGTGTCGACTCGCCTTTATCGCCGGAGACAACAGAACTATTTTGAGTACTTTTATATTCGGCAGTCAGCCTCAGAAAACGAAAATGGAGGTAGACGGGGATGAGTAAGAGCTAGAAAAAGAGCTGGAGATAGGAGGGTTACAAGAGATAAGACAGAAAGAAAAGATAGGTAGAGGAGGCCGGCGATAAAAACCCGAGAACATTTTTCGTCGTTGCCCGGTAAAGAAAACAGGGGAGCAAGCGAAAACAAGGGAGAGGGACCACAGGTTGTATCTTTTATGCGAGCCATCCTTTCTCGCGGAAACGATGACAAAAGATTAGACATGAGGGAGACGGAACGACGCGTCTTCCGGAGGGAGACGCATTGTGAAAAATGATCTAACATTAAAGTGCATTAAGAAAAAAAACACTCACAGGAGTTTCGATCAGGTTACAATGTTAATTGCATCGGGAAATAAAGGTGTGCTTCTTGACAAAATGCTTTCAAAACGTTTTAATGAGGTTCTGATAAATGACAAATTATAAAATAAACACATGCAATATAAGACTACAGTAGTAGACAAACAATTCTATATACATATGTATATTGTGATGTTACATGTATAATTTTATGAAGCTCCAACGTTGCTCCAACGGAACTTTAATATACGATAATGTCGTTAATTCCCAATCTATTAATGTTGTTAATAGAGAAAATTTTTCGTTATATTTTATTGCAAAAATTGATACAAATTTTAATATGTTTGGTGATAAGTATAAGCTAATTTGATAATCTTTCGAATATTATCGGTAATGATAGACATTTTCGAAATATGCAAAAGACATTCTATAAAAACTACATAATAAAAATGATTCAGCAAATTATCAATTGTTTTAAAGCAAAGGCTTCACATTTAAACGATCATTATCAGCGTCATACATGTATATGATGCGCTCAATTCTTCATGACAATCTGATGTTACATATACACTCAAAAATCTATTCTTAATATTGTATGATCTAGGATATTCTCTGCTTCACGATATGATCGAGACTTGTTAAGTCAGCGAGGTGACAGTGCTAACGAAAAGTGACACGGTAACGTCTTGAAAGACTCGCGAGAATTATTGTCATATAAAACAACTTTATTCGACAATTTTATGGAATAATTCTTTTTACAACTTACTCGCGTATTGTTACATGACTTATATGTAAGTATTTATTTGTAAGGGCTTCGGTATAAGCTGTCGTTGCAGTCGGAGGTCCTCCTCTATTTATATCGAAAAATTAGAGATATATCAAAAATTCTTAGGGCTAATAAGTCATTGGAAACACTTGAAATTTTAGTTGTTGAAAAAAATATTTGAAATTCTTAGTCGTAGAAAAAACACTTTTAGGGCTAATGAGTCATTGAAATATACAATACTCAACAAAAAATAGGGAACACTTTCAAAATGCTCAAAATTATATATACTTACAATTAGTTAGAACTTAGTATATATGTACATGAAGTTATATATATGAAGTATATAACTTAAATTCTCTCTCTCCTCTCTCTCTCTCTTTCTCTTTCCTCTCTCTCCTTTCTCTCTTCTAACATTATAACATCGCGAATCCAACTTATATACGGAGAAACCCTAGTAACATTTCGGGTACATTGCTAGAGCAAGTTGACATACCCAAAATACCAATTTGAAGGTACTCGTCATTTCTTGATTTTACGGTGAGAGGGGCACCGTTCTAAAAACAAAAAATCAAATAATAAATTTACGAAAACTAAGATACCATCGAAGTTCATTTACTGAAGCTGTCTAAAATGATTTGAGTTGATTCATATTTATATAAGGTAAATGTCCCTATTTGTGATTATGACCTTATTTGTGACCACTCGTGGACTTTTATTTAATTAATCAGAAGTTTTAAGTAATTAATTTTCAAAAAAAATACTCATCACGTTTGGTAATTACTGAATCACAGTTTGATATATTAATCAAGAATATTTGACTAACAAATACTTGTGAAAATATGAAATAAGA